TAATTTTAAGAACGTAGCTATATAGTAGCTTTATAAATTTTACGCTTAATTGTTATACTAATGAGAATTGTTTTTTAAAATAATTTTTATGATTTTTTTATGATAATGTTCATGCCTTTTTCTTTTACAAAATATTATCATAAAAAACCGGATAAATAATAAGAAAATAACAAAAGTAAAAAAAAAAGCAAAGACCTCGTAACATAATCAAAATCAGATAATCCACAGCCAAACCAATTGATCCAACCCAGAATCATATAAGAATCATATCGTGTATAACTGAAACAAAAACACCATTCAGACGCCTTAATAATTTTGATTAAATATTCTTCTGCCTCAGTTTTCGCAATTCAGAAAAAAAAAACACCAGAGTCCTTATAAAATTCCCAATAAAATTATGTACAATCATATATACGAAAATGGTATATATTATATTAAATATATGCTATATGTGTGTATGTTAAGTAGGTATATTAGAAAAAAAAACAAAATAGCACACCTTGTCAACATAATTTTCGTGATTTTCAATCGTTAAAATGAAATTTTAACATTTTTGCAAATCCCAGCTAGGTGGTAAAAATTAATGAAAATAAATGGTAAGATCATATAAAAAATGTTAAAAAAAAAAAGTAAAAGAAGAAAAAAATTGAAAAATAAATAAAATTTACTGTTATTTCATTTACAGACACCATTAGGGTCCTTAAAATGAAAAAATATTTACCCACGTAGGTAATATAAAATAAAAAATTTTTTACCCACGTGGGTAAATATTACCATGTTATTACCCACATGGTAACTTCCAATGTGTATCCATATTATGAAATTCTCAGAATTTACATTGTAAGCTAATGAATAAGAGCTACTACACCCCTTACAAAAAATGCATGACATATTTTAATCAAATATTGCCTAATTAATAACATAATCTAGAACACGGAATTGAAGAGTCGATCCAAAAACACAAAGCTTTGAAACTCCTATTTGAATTTTTCATAATTTTATAACTCCTGTTTTGGATAGATTCATAATTTGTGCTCATTGCCAACTAATATCTCAATATTAATAGAATTGAGTCTTTAAATTTCGAATTCGGTGAAAACCTCAATTTGAAATGGTGACCCTACTTATTACGCTCCAAACTCAAACAGTCCTTAAATTTCTTACTTATGTAATGACACATTAAAACGTTCTAAAATTAATTTCATTTCTCAGTTAAGGTGGCGGAGACGCAAGTCATAATTAAGGTGTTTTTTTTAACAAATCAAATTTAATTCAAGTGCCCATCTATAAATAAAATTCATTCAAATTAAACAAATTGTTAAGTAGCCAATAAAATAAATTTAAATGTCATGTAAAATATAAATCAAAAATTATGGTACACCTTATATTATGAAATGTGACAGAAAATTACTGTTCTTTTAACTGTATTTCTCATTCATATTTCAATTATTTAGCCCTGACACATAAATGGAAAAACAAAAAATAAAGAAAAGGACAAAAACAAAATTCCTTTTCGCGAATATAAATAAAAATTTTTATTTTAATATCTAGTCAAAATATTAATGAAAAAATAAATTATTTTTAATTTCTCTAAACATTCAATTTACATTACATACTTTTTGTATATATTTTTATTACATACTTTATTTTAGAATGAAATAAAAATTAATATTTATTGCATGTGCTTTAATTTCTAAAAGGGAACAAAAAAAAAAAAGAATTTAAGAGCTTAAATCAAAGCGGGTGCCTCACAATTTATTTTAATAAATTTTATTTCCTTATTTCATTTATTTTACTAAAAATTCTTTTAAAACAGCACTGTTTTTTACGTAACGTAGGTTAGGAAGAGAGAAAAAGAATAAGGAAGAAAAATGACGGAAAATAAAAAGACAACCATCACTTTAATACGAAAAAAATTTTTGTTTAATTCAAGGTTCTTATGGTTTAACAGTACGAATTTTAAATAAAAAACATTTTATACGTACAAGTCAGAGTTGGAGGGGGGGGAGAAATATAAATACCCATTATATAGATAGATAGATACCCAATAGGAAGCCACACAATCAGGTAGTGACTATTTGAATTAGCGATCAAATACTTCGAACCTCCCAAGTATTTTTCAGACGGAAATACACCCTATGGAAAGATTCAATTTAACCTGGATAGATATTATTATGAATGTAATATAGCAATAATGTCCGACAGTCGCGCTGCCATAAATGAACTAGATTCCTACCAGATTCCCTCTAACTGAATCAGAACAATCGGATCATTCAGTGAAATCGGATTGTGCTGAGTGCCGGAACACCTTGATGTAAGACGAAATGAAAAAGTAGATATACTGGAAAAGTGGAGGCTAATTTCCGGATCAAACTGGGCTTAATGACTGTGATTAATGATCCATAAGAGAAGACGATGCTCGGATGGACCGTAGCTGATACGCCTCTTGTTGTGGAATATTTCTCCAGAAAAGTTATCCGTATTAAATAAAAATGGGCGTCTCAAGGGGGTGTTCTCTATGTGAACTTATGAATTTATTTTAAAAGCTAAAATTTTTCACTAGAACCTTAAGTTACCCTACCACACTATAGTGATATTCAATTAAAATATCAATCCAAGTAATAGTAATAATTTTTACATTCTCCAAAATTTAAAAATTCGGCTAGAAAAAAATCACATATTCGGAACGGATCAAATCACTTTAAAGCCGTCATTTTTACATTTTTTTGCTCTTTCTTCTGATTTTTTGTTTTCTTTATTATTTATAATAACTTTTACATCGTCTTTTTTTATAATATTTTAAATCCATTTTTTTTTCTCCATCAAAAAATAAAAGTGGATTAAAAATGTCAGTAAATACAATTTCAACATTAATCAAACTAATTTAAGCATTAATCCTACAATTTTTTTATTTTAGTAATTTTATTTTTGGAAAAAAAGAAAACTTGACATTTAGTATCGCTAAAATAGATTTATTAAACTCAAAAAAAAAAATAGCAAAAAAATTTGTTGAAATTAAGAATAATGACAGAAAAATTTTATTGATTTTTTTTTTCTTTTTTTTTTTTTAATATAAATCTAAAGTCAGTCACCTCATGTATATTAAAAAAATTAATATTTTTTGCGAAAAAAAAGAAAGTGGAAAAATTTTTTGCAAATTATTATTAAATTTTAAAAATATTTTTTTATTTTTCACAGATGTTGTTTATTATTGTTTTTGATGGAGAAAAAAAATGGTGGAATAAATAGTTAAATAAAAAATAACGGTAAAGGATTTCATAGACGAATTATAATGATTGACGTATATAGACCAAGTTGAAAGAACTTTAAATTACAAAATGGTCACCAAACAAAATTCATGAAAAAATAAAAAAAAATATTAATAAATTTAAATTAGATTTTTAATAACTCTCATATTAAAAGTTCATTTAATAACTGTTATTTGAATTAAAGGAATAAATTTATATTGGTTTGTGTATGTACCGTACTATATTTCATATTAGAGACATTGACCTCCTGCTGTTAATATCTAATTTTGCTAAACAACGAATATGAACACTACATGCTGAATTTGTGCTACAAACGCACCGTCACAACAATTCGTCAAATACAAGGTGTACAACAAGTTTATTTTTAAAAAAGGCTTGTTGGCTGGTGCTCCACGCAAGTTGAGCAAAAAGAATTAATAATATTGTCAACTCAATTGTCAGTTCATTATCCACTACATACAAAAGACGACCGAATTTTCAAGATACGTGGGCTGTCCCAGAATTAAGTAGCCTAACCAAGAAAACACAAAAATTTTGAAAAAAAAGTTAGCCTGGCATAAAAATAGAAATAAGCCCTATCATTTTAAGGATTAACTGTCACACTTTTATTAATTTTTTTTTTTTTCAGATTACCGACTACTAATAGTGAAGCTTTTCAGTAAATTTTTAATATGGATAAAATTGGTCATCGTTATGTCATTCAATATTTTTATTTAAAAGGTCTTAGTCCAGCCGATATCAAAAGTGAACTAGATTCTACACTAGGGGAGTCTGCTTCCTCGTATTTAAGTAAACAAAAGTTGCTTTTCAAAACCGTTTCAATGATGTGCTAAATCTTTTCAATAATTGCAATATTATATTGAATATTTTCAAACTCATATTACTTGGATTTTTTAGACATTTGTATACCAAAGATACCTGTTTAAATCAGTAAATTTCACTTATTTTCACAAAATTAACAAAGTGTGAGCAAAAATAAGTATTTCTAATAAATATTAAGTGACAATTTTAAGAAACGACAAATAGCATTCGGATAGCCATGATTAAATCAACAAAGAATTCGATTCTAAAACAACAATATACGTTAAATAATTTGAAATGCTTCCTTCCTATTGTTCTACAATACAAATGATGTGACAAAATTGAATAAGACTCCTTTAGGCAACACTTTAAATCAAAATCAATTTACCTACCAAAAACCCTCCTATATACTAATACCAGTTTTCGTATTCCATTACAATAAATCCCTATTTTCGTATTATTCAATCAATTATTTTTTATTTAATTCATTTTATTATTAATCTTTTCTTTTTCTAATGTAATTAATATCATATTTTTAACAAGAATTTTTATATTTAATATCGAATCGATTATTTAATATTAAATTTAATATTACCTTCCCACATACACACTCACATGTAAATTCTCTCTTTTCAAAATCAAATATTTTTTTATCAATAAAAAATTTTTATTAATATTGAGAAAAAAACAACACGAAACCTTTTGACTCAAACCACAAAGAACAAGAAATATGATAATTTTGTTTAGAAAAACCTTCCAATTTAAGATTTAATTTACAAGTGTATAAAATGCCTTATTATAATAATTTATATATAGGAACCGCATACACAAACAAAACATAACAAACACATACGCACTTTATTTACAAAATATCAATTGAATTTTATCAATTTGACTCTACTTTTTGAATATTTTATTAAAATCTCTTACCTTCCCAAGGGCATCCATTTATTTCAGCTCTTAAACAAACTGTTCTATCATATTGACTATAAGGATAAATACGAACTTTTGAAGCAAAAATTATTGGTTGCAAGATATTTTCAACTTCACTATATGTATTTATATTTCCAGTTAGGATCTATATAGGAAAATAGAAAAATTTAGGAATTTTTCATCATTATTCTTGTTAAGGAAAATTTTCACTTTTAATAATAATTTTTTTAATATTAAATTACAAACACACAAAATTTAACAAGAAAATGAGCAAAAAAAAATTTTTCATATAAAATTCTCAGCTTGTTTTCTTACCTCTTTTCCTTGAATATTCTTCCATTTAATCCATTTATTAAAACCAGGTCTCCAATATTCTAAAACATAAGCTTCTGTATATTCTTGACCTTGACCTTTACCAAAACGTCCTTGTGTACGTATACTTGTTATAACATGAACTCTTAATAAATCAATTTGTATATAATCCTTTAATGCTCGGGATACAATATATTTGGGGCACCATGCACCACCATTATTATCAATTTTTAGTCTGTAAAATATAACAGAGTATTATTTTCATTTCATATACATAATATTATTTTACATATAAATCATATTACATACATACAAAAATATGACATATAGGGAGAGTGTAGTATATAAAATCAAAAAAAAAAAAAAGAATCAAGTTATTCATCCGAGTAAATAAAGTCTAATATAACAGAAATAGACAAAATCATAAAGTATATACGTTAGGGCTATGGAAGGCATCATAATATTATTGGAGTATTCTTTTGTTCACAAAAAACACATAATATACCGATATACATAATGGCATATATATGTATAAGTGCCTACCATTAAGGGATTTAATTCTTGTTTTTTTTCCATAGTGAAATTTTGAGATTTTTAGGATAATTTATACTAGTACTTTTTATATATTGTGCAGCAGATATATGAGTAGTTACCTAAAACATCCTCAATATTAGAGATTTATATATACAGGCTCATATATGAATAGGGGACTCGTTTATGATAAAGAGGATTACGTATGTAATGTACGCAGCCTTAGGGAAAAATTATATTTTTTTTTATTCTATTTTTTTTTTCTATTTAAGATCGTAGATTTTATGATAATATAGAATAAAATATTATAAAGAATATAAATAGGACTTTTGTAAAGGAAAATTATTATATAAAGAAATATTTTTATAGGGTATATATACAAGGACGTCCACTACACACGTACATTAATAAATGTAAAATATCATGACATATTTATTTCAAGATAAATATTGAGGTCTATTCTTAAACTGCAAGAGATTATATGAACATTTATAAGAAATAGGAAGTGCTTTATAATAAGAATAATCAGAAACTGTGACCATCAGAGAGTAAAATTTTAATGGAGTTACAAAATAGTAACAAGACAATATGATTTCCAATAAGAACATTGATACGTTCAAAGAAAAATTTACATTTAAGATCCAATAAGAGCATTCATACGTTCAAAGAAAAAATTTACAATAATAATGCAAATAATAAAATATGAGATCAATAATAATCTAAGTGTGTGAGGCAAAATCTGTTATCACGTAAGGTCATCCAGTGCTCCGAGAAAAGTAATGTCACATGAAAAAGCGACTTACATAATTGACAAAACGCTAAAACAAAAAATTAAAACTCCTAGAATGGCGTGAATTACTATGAAATATCTGAAAATTTGGTGGAAGGACAACAAAATTAGGAATAGTGACAATTGGAAAGTGACTCACTACGAAATAAGCAAAAAGATAAGTTTAAATCTGGGTAGAGATTCATTTATAAATGATCGGGAAATCTGTGAAACGAAAAGAATAACGGGAGATACGAACCGAATGATGACAAACGGTGAACACGACCAAATCTCACAACAAAAAGAACAATTTATAAATGTATGTATGCTCGTATGTTGAACAATTCAAGTATCGGGTGATTATGTAGGTAATTGTGGTTAATACTTCAAAGTGATTACTATTGATATGTATAATTATTGGTGTACAAAAATATATTGCAAATTCAATAAGCATAGGGCAAGTTTACATAAAATATTCAAGTGTTCTACGGCATTATTTTGTGTCAGAAATTTAAGATATAAATTAATAAACTTATAATCTACACCTAATATAATTTAATATGATATAAAGATAGAAATTAATTTAATAATGACTTTCAATTATGATTTTTATCAGCTAAGCTGCATTAATTTCTATTCTGTTGTATTTTAATAAACAACTCCTATTTATATACTTGACATAATAAAAATTATGTAGAACACTTAAATTCTAGGCTAAACATATAATTATATACTAATATATCTAGCTGGTATACCAACCACGCAAAATAGAAAGCAATAGAATAAAAAAAAAACAAATCTTTCCCTTAACAAATAAAAATTCACAATATCATTTGAATTTCCCAATACAATTATAACTAATGCGGTAAATATTGGGGTCATAGGCCATCATAACCAACAATAATAATAATAATGATAATAAAAAGAGCAAAATATAACACTAAAATAACACAACCTCACATTTGTAACAAAATTTGTATTTCAAACCACAAAAACAAATTTTTCGTAGATATTTGAAATTTTTGTTTCTTTGTGTTCTTATTTTCTAGTATCAATCATTTCAATTATGACATTTTAACTTTAATAATAATAATAAAAAAAAAATATTTTTTTTTTTATTGACAATTTATTTTCAATATTATTCCTTATCCATTTTTGGGTTGTTGTTAATGTCAATAACTGTAATTAAAGTGCTACTCACTTTTTTTTTTTTGATCAAGAGTATTTACCAATCTATAATATCTAAACAGTTTGTCTATATTTCTGAAACGCCTACAGAGACTTAAAAGAAAATTTTCTATATGGTTGTTCTCGGATTGAAATTTGTTTTCCTTATAAAATTTGATTGACATTTAAAGTAAATAGAAATGTGAATAAAAAAAAAAATTTGTGGTTAAAAAATTCAACAATAGGATATTGAAATTGTAAGAGAAGCAACGCTGAGTTTTGGACAGACAAAGAATAAGGAAGGGTTTAATAATGCAAATGTGTAAAAAACTAATAGACTAGCAAAGATGATACCATTTTCCAGCTTATATAATCAGAACTATAGTTTGGGAAATTAGAAGATCCAGAAAAAATAGTTCTATACAGCTGGTTTTTCCAAGCGAAGGATCTTGGAGAAAAATGCGACAAAAAAATGTGTGATTTAGAGCTATTATATAAGAATGGGTTGGAAATATTGGAATTTTCAGGAGTTTCTTGATGGGGCCATTCATTTTCAAAGAACGACAAAGTAAGCTACACATTTAGAACGACAGGTCTCAGGGGAAGAAATCCGCATGTACATTCTTAGGGATTTTAGACGGGTCATCGACAAAGGCACAGCAGAGCCATTGTGATGGACAATTATCGGTGTTTTTCGTGACGGAATGTTCTTACTATGAACCAAATACCAAGGAAACTACAGATTTTATGGGCGGTCAATGCATTAATACAAATTGATGGAAACATATACAGAATTATACATAGTATTTCAACATATTTTTCATTCGTGTTATAATATCTATCGCATTACACATCCTGAAAAGTTGAAGCTCCAACATTGCATTTTCTTTTTCTTGTTTCTTCTTGCATGTATTATAAATGAAATGACAAAAATGTCATATAGCTAATGTTTCCTTAACCGTTTATAATAAAAGTACACAAACACAAATACAAATAGAAATTTAATAGAATGAACACCTTTGAATCTTTTATTTATTAACTATACAAAATCTCTTCTTTCCTATACCAATTTTGCTGAAATAGTATGTAGACTCTATTTGGAATATTTGATATTTATTACTGCCATTATTATTATTATTTTCATTATTACTATTTTCATTATTATTATTTCTGATTAAAAATTTATTTATAAAAAAAATATTCTCAAGAGTCAATCAAAAAAGGCGAAAATTTATTTATATACAAATAAAATAAAATGTCCATTAATTCTATACCTTAAGATATTTTTTGAAGGTATAGAATATTTTTATATACATATGTATGTATATATAGAAAATAATTTACGAATATATGGTAATAATGACATGCACTATAATATTTTAAAAGAAATTTTAATACCTACGCTTATATACAGGTATTATACTAATGGTATTCGTATATATCGTATATAAGATTTCAAATAACAGTGCGTTACTAGGAAAATTGGTGTAGATTTCTACCAAACTAAAAAAAAAAGGTTTATTCAAAAGAATACTTGGTTAATAATTATTCAAGCAAGTATGTCAAGTACATTACTATTGTTATTCAGAACAGAAATTTGATCAATAATATTTTGGCTCCACTTCTCCGCTGCTCAACAAAGTAGTTCTGCTTATTTTTGAAATTATTAAATCCATTAACGCCATGATATTATTAAGACTAGCTTAAAATTTGACGACTACCGTCGACATCCAGGAAAACAATAGGACAATAAACATTAGAGGTTCAAATCAGGCCAAATTCTCTCACTTATCTCTCCGTAAATTCGTATTTATTTTCGAATCCGTGAATTAACTTCTTGATATGAAGTGCTATTAGGGCTAAAGCTTTATCAAATTCAATTTTCTGTCATAAAATCACTCCGGATCCTATTCTGTTTTCAAAAACCAGTCCTTAAAATCAATACATTTGGCGATTGATCTTTTTCTTGTAAATCTTTTAGAGGGTATTCCAAAATTTTACTCTCCATGTATTCAGTTTTACTAAAATTCCATTAAAATACCCTTTTTTGCACTTCTTAACATCGATAGCAGCAGTTTAACTTTTTCAAACGTTAAATACACCATTCTGCACTGTACTACAGTGAATATATTTAATAGACTACGAGTATTGAGTAAGAAATGAAAAATCACTTAAAGTTTTATTAAACAAGCAAATATTGTGTTCTTGTCCCATAGGTACACATGCAATATCAATTTTTTTTATTAACCAATTTTCTATTTTATTTTCTTTATTGGAATTTAATTAAAACTTTTCCAAATGATAAAAAATGTCATTGCCTGATCGACGGTGATATTTTTTATATTTTCATTTTAAAATTCTAAATGCATTTTTAATATTATTTTGTATACATTTATAGTAAAAGAAAATTTTATGTGCATTGGCACAATGCAATCTACATACGAGTATATGTATACGAGTAGAATAATTGAATAAAAATATAGTAAAATGTAATATGCCAGAAGTTTGGCAGGAAGATTGCAAAAAACGTCTTTCCTGATTTGAATGATTAATGAACTAATAGACTTTTTAAGTAAAAATGTACTGCTTGTACAATAAAGAAAATAAACATTTTGGGATTTTTGTATAATATTGCTATTTGCATTTAGATTTAAGATATGTGTATGTAGATGTTTCGGGTTCAAATGTTAATTATATTATTGTATAGGTAATTCTTTTGCAAAATAATTTCAATTTTCAACAATATCAATTTATTTCTGATTTAAAAT